GTGACGTCTATTAGGGTATGATTGCTTGTGATGAGAAAGTTATAAGAGAGAAATATGTAAGAGATACTGGAAGAAGAGAGAAGATGTGAGAAGTAAAGAAGATTTGATGTATTGTTTGTTATAAGAGAAATAGAGAAGAGATAAATGTTAATGGTTATTAAAAATACAAAATTGTCCTTCATAATAATTTTGAATTATGAGAAAATAGAGGTATAAATGACAACTTACTATCAAATTAACATTTCTCCTCTCTTTCTTTTCTATTTTGAAGAGATTAAAAAAATGGTGAGTCCCACACATTTCTTTCTCTCTTCTCACTCTCTTCTAAACCAATCAAGAAAAATTGACTCTCTATTTCATCATTCTCTTTCACCTTACTCTTTCTCTCTCTTCTTTATTTCTCTTAAATCAATCACACCCTTAGTGATCAAGGACTTTACACTATTAAAAAAAATATAAATTTACACTCATTTTTTATACAATTTACACCTATTCTTTTTAAGGGTGTAAATTCAACGGGTGATAAATGTCAAACGAATTTATACCCATTTAAAAATAGGTGAAAGTACATGCTAATTTACACTCTTTTTTAATCGAAAACGGTTGTAAATTGTTATATATACACATTTAAATCAAATAAATTATACCCAATTTAGTAAAAATCGGGTGTAAATAGATGATAAGTTACACCTTTTTTAATAGAAAAAGGGTATAAATTATTACACATATATATTAAAGTCAAACATATCTACACCCCATTTGATAAAAGTTGAGTGTAAATACATACTAAATTACACCATTTTTTTAATAGAAATCTGGCGTAAACTCATGCTAAGTTACACCCTTTTTTAATAGAAAATGGGTGTAAATTTTTACATATACATTTAAGTCAAACAAATCTACACCTAATTTGATAAAAAATTGGGTGTATATACATGCTAAGTTACACTCTTTTTTAATAGAAATCGGGTGTAAATACATGCTAAATTACACCATTTTTTTAAAAGAAATTCGGGTGTAAATACATGTTAAATTTACCCACAATTTTAATTATCATGGATGTGAAATATGATTATTATATTATATTTAATTCCATTGACACCCACCCTATTTTATATGATACAATTACACTCTATTTTAGTTCTCACATTTCTTAATACTTTATATAATAAGAAGTCATAAAATTCAACAAAATATTTCATATAGTAAAAACTCATACATCAAAATTATATTTCATGTACTACTAAATCCTAATATTTCTTCATATTTACGAAAAAGTATACAAATTATTATGTTATCATCATAGTATTCAAATTAAGGAAGCAAAAAACATGTCCACTTGAAGATCACCAGGGCAACAACATTTTGGAAATTCATCGTTTGCCAGGCCTGGAATGACATTTCTAGCACTTGGACATGTTGATATTTTTCACCTATAGTACAAACAAGTGAATTTGAAAGTGATTTTGTTCAGCAGCAGCCACCATAGGATCCTGACACATGGACATTGGAACAGTTCCAGCATGACCTTGTGAGCCTATAACCGTAATATGCATATAATAGCATATCATTAGAATCATTTTTCAGTTCATTTTTTACATACAGATTACTTCTAAATTGCTTAAACACAAAAATTAAAAGCCGTAAGTATTGAAGACTAATAGTATTAATTAAAAGCCGCGAGTATCAAAGATTAAGATTAGTAGTATTAATTTATATATTGTTGACAAAAGAGAGAATTAGAAACTAACTTGCATCTTCTTTGCTGAAACATAAGGGAGGGTGTAATTCTGAATACATTTCCATAATAGCCACCTTTTCCAACCAGCACTCTTAAATCCGGTGTAATAGCAGAAAAGCTGATTAGTGACACAAAAAACAGATAAAAATATGGCTAGATTGTTACGAATGCTGCAGGAAATATGGAACAACTTAGCTTATCAGGATTGAGATTTGAGACTTTACCTTTCAATTGTTCCATCACATGCAGGGTTTCTTCTTTTGCTGGTGTTTTAAGTTCGCGGTGAGTGACAAGTTCAACTCCGACCATGAAACCTTTTCCTCTCACATCACCAATTACTATAGTAGAAAATAATAAAAAATTAATTCGAAACATAAATAAGGAAAACAAATTCTGATTCTAGCATAACTATAATGTGTCTCAACTATAGTCTTTTTTCACTAGAATGAATTCGTGAATGCTTTTGTTTGTGCATTAATCTTAGATGGGCAAGTATATGGGATGAAACCATACTTTCATATTTGTCCTTGAGTGCATTAAACCTCTCTTTCAAATGGGATCCCACTACAAATGCATTTTCTTGAAGCTTTTCCTTCTTAATTACTTTTAAAACAGCCAATCCTGCAGCTGTACAAACAGGGTTTCCACCAAAAGGTGTTAAATTAAATTTTGCGCGTCAAAGCCTTGGCAATCTCAGGAGTAGTTATAACAGCACTGAGAGGAATGCCATTTCCAATACCCTGCCAAAAGAAAAATTAAGAAAACAAGCCAATAACTATGAACATAGATACTTGACAACGCATATATATTGGGCCTGTTTCAATAGCTTTTTAAAAACAATTTTTTCTTTTCTAAAATTTAAAAATTATAAAATCTGTTTGGTTGGCTTAATTTTAAAAATTGTTTCTTAAAACTATTTTGAAAAACTAGTATGATATCCGTGTGATGTACGGGTATCGGTCTGGCACTTGCATTGAGTTAAAAAGAGTTCATATATAAAAAAAATTTATATATGAAGAAAAAATAGTTACAATTGAAGTATACCTACTCATTACCATTTCTATTCTTGATAGAAAAATAATATATAATTGATAGAAATGATATATATCGATAATAACAAAAGAATATGAATAATGTAATACTTATATAATCAATAAAATAATTATTATTTTCAAAAGAGAGACATACTGTTATTTATATTTGAATCATAAATATAATTTTTTAACATTAATTATGAAAATATTTAAATTAATTATTCTCATTTACAAAAAAGAAATTTAAGATTCTATGTTTTATTTAGAAATTTGTTTTATTAAATTATAAAAAAAAACATATATTTCTCTTATTTACATTAGTAACATATATTAGTAAAATAATTACATCAATAATATATAAATAAATTTTCCATTTATATTTAAAAAAATATTTTTTCTTAAATTAAAAATGAAAATATTAATAATATAAATAATTAAAAAACAACATATTTTTCCCGTATTTAGTTTCATAGATTATTTTAAAAATATTTACGTAGATTAAACAAAACTAATAAATTTCATCTACTGTCTCACAGTATACATGTTGAAATGTCTCACAGTATACATGTTGAAATTAAGATTAACTAAGCATTTCACCATAAGAAGTAACTTTGTACATACTATTAGCTATCAATATTTGACATTGAACATTCCATAGTAACAATATAGTTTTTCTAAAAGAGGAGAAAATTGTTTCAGCTGCTTCATGTTTGTTTGTGTCAATGTTTGTGCAGGAAGTTAGAAAGAAGTGTGAATTGGGATCCTTTGAAAGTGCATCATGTACCAATAGGCTCGACAACAGACCTGAATTCAAGTGTACCAACACATGTCGAATCCAACAAAGGAAGGAAAACCATATAATTCCTTGGTGATATGCATACAACATCATAAATTCTGGTAGCCCCTTAAGAAACCGTCAAGCTGATACCTATAACAACCATCTTAGGCTTCTCACCTAGTTTTGTTGCTTCTAGTCCTGCATATCTTTGTCGATTGTCTTCCGACTCAGACTCAGACTCCTCTACAACCCTTTGTGTGTTAGACGAAGTCCGGTAGTATGGAGTTTGATAACTGTTGGACAAACTTACCTCTCTAGTTGAGCAAATACGAACCTAAAATAAACGTAATAGATTAGAAACACTCTTAAGCCTTGTGATTTTCATTTATAATAGAACAAAGCATTAACAATGGAGATAATCAATGTTTGCTAAGGGACTACAATGATATTTTAATATACGTAGAATAGTGTGGTTAAATCCTTTTATTATGAACGTCTAAACATAAAGCATAGTGATTATACGAATATAAGAATAAACTCTCCAAATATTTTAATTGACATGAAACATCTAATTACAATTTAGAAACTGCACGAATTACTTATCTTTCATTATTGGCATTAGCGTTGTTTTGGTCGTTCGACCATCCTCGACGTGATCAAAACTTGTGGGTTTGGTGATTGCGCAGAGATGCAACAGTGCTATCCAATTCAGTTTTGGGAGAACATGTCAGTAATTGGAACTGTTGGGAACCGAATGACATCTCCATCGAATTAATTGTAAACTTAACTAATAAAGACGTTAAAAATTGTTGTTGTTAGGACCGGTCAATGATATGGAAGACTACAAATTAATATTTATTTAAGCTAATACTAAACCCCTATTCCTAACTAAAAAAATCTTAAAATATAAACAATTGCGAAAACTAATTCTAAGAAATGATTTTAGATACTCTAAGATAAGATCAAGATATTATTATTCATACTATCTAGCGTATACAATAAGTGGATCTGGCCATGTAGGAGTAACAAAGAAGAAGCTAATACATAGGACAATTGAAGTATGAAAGTTAGTATACCTAATATAACCACTGGTCCAGAGCAGAGTTGTTAATCCCGGATAACGGAGCGGAGCGGCCGACCCCCGGGAATGGAAAAAGCGGGAATAGCGGGATTCCGGATAGCGGGACAACTTTTTGTATACTAATAATTATATAATAATCTATAAAACATATGTTATAAAACATATGTCATGCAATACTAAATTAATTCCACAACACTCATAAAATACTTATAAAATCTAATGTCAAACAAAGAACAATGCTTAATCAAGACTCAAAACATAAAGATTCAAAACATAAAGGTTCAAATGTCAAACAAAGAACAATGCTTAATCAAGACTCAAAACATAAAGATTCAAACATAAAGGTTTAAATGCCAAACATAGAAATCATATAGCATCATCAAAAAATTCCTCTTCCTCTTCATCTTCTTCTTCAATATATTCCTCCATTTCTTCATCTTCATCTTCAACTTCTTCAAAATCTTCCTCCAATTCTTCATCTTCAACTTCTTCAACATCTTCCATCACTTGTTGTTCCATTGATGCTCTAGTTGCCATTGTTGCTCTTGGTGCAATTGTTGCTCTTGGTGCCGTTGTTGCTTGAGAAGTACTTCCAACTTCATTTTGCCTTGTTGTCCTCCTAGTGTAGATTATAGGCTCATTAGCCCCACTAACATCGGCAACTTGACTCCAAGTTAAATCATCATTTGGATGAACCAAGTCTTCACCATCATCTCCTACCTTTTCCATCTCTCCCACCAACCATTCGGTGTGGAAATTAATTTCATTAAATTCCATAGGATCAATTTTATCCCAAATTTCAAACCTCTCTACCAAAGCTTGATTATACTTGATAAACACCAAGTCTTGCAATCTTTGATGTTCCAATTTATTTCTCTTCTTAGAATGAATCTAAAATACAATAATTTGAAGTATTAATTTAATAATACTTGCATGTAAGATACTTTAAAATCCTAGTAAAAAATTAATACTCACATGCTCAAAGATGCTCCAATTACGCTCACATCCGGAAGCACTGCAACTCAAACTCAACACTTTAACAGCCAACAATTGCAACTCCGGAGTTTCGGCTCCATAAGACTTCCACCACTCGGCTGCAAGTAATTGTAAAAACTCATTCCATATACATAACACAAAGTGTATCACATGTAATTTAGCAAAAAATTATTTCATCTTACCTGGAGCTAATGTCGACCTGTGTCTAATTGCCGCTCTTATACCAAAGAGACCTGTAGCACCCCTGTATTGTGACAATTGTTCTGAAATCAAATCTTCCACTGCATAACTTTCACTAAGTGTCTCAATGCACTTACGGAGGCCTCTCACCAATCTACCATTATTCTCAATTTCTGGTTTAGAATAATAATATTCAGGATTGAGATAGTGACCTGCATAATGTAGCGGATGATGAAGTTGACACTCCCATCTTTTATCAATGATTGCAAATACGGCTTCGTACTTGCTTGAATTTGAACTAAAAGCTTTCTCAATTGATTCCTTCGCTACCCCCATTGCGGCATATATGTATCCCATTGCGGGTTTCCTTTCATTATCAACCATTCTTAGCACATCTACAAGAGGCGCCATGCACTTAAGAGTGTAAAGAACATCATTCCAAAATGATATCGTAAGTATAGTAGTAGCTGCCCTTTGTCCTTTAGCATCTTTGGCACACTTGGAACTCGTCCATTCTTCACAAAGGAACATCTCCCTAAGCTTTCCTTTTAGTTCTTGCATCCTTTGTAGACAAAGGAAATGGGTAGCAAACCTTGTCACTCCTTGTTTAACCAATTCAACATTACCCGTAGTCTTTCTCATTAGATTCAAAGCAAAAGTATGATTATAAATGTAGCCCACAACCTTAACCCCTTTTTGTATAACCTTTTGAACCTTTGGAATTTTGCCTATGTCTTCTAACATAAGGTCTATACAATGGGCAGCACATGGAGTCCAAAACATGTGAGGCCTCCTCAAACACAATTCTTTACCCGCCGCTACATAATTACTTCCATTGTCCGTAATCAATTGAACAACATTTTTTTCACCCATTTCCTCAATAAAAGTGTCCAACAACTCGGCTAGCTTTTCCCCCGTCTTGGCATAGTTAGAAGCATCAACACTTTTCACAAACATGGTCCCCGTCGGACAATTGACCAAGCAATTAATCAATGTTCTACCTTTTCTATCCGTCCAACCATCCGACATAATTGAACATCCATATTTATTCCTTTGCACCTCTTGGTTTTTCAACAAACATTTTGTATATTCCAACTCATTTCGGAGGATTGGAACCCTGAGTTCATGATAACTTGGCGGTTTCAAATGAGGACCATAACTTCCAACCGCTTCCAACATCAACTTAAAAGCTCTTGCATTTGCTACGTTAAAAGCAACTCCACACGTATAAAAAAAGCAACCAATATATTGGATGGTTCTTACCCTTGCTTCTTTATCACACGCATCATTGATGCTTGTGTCCTTACTCTTCTTATACACCAAATCCAACGGTCCCTTAACCCTCTTGATAGCCATTGAAGAGGTCTCATCACTCGCAACCATCCTCTTTTCGGTTTGAATTCTACGTATTTCCTCAATATCAATGGTATCATCCACATCTAATTGCACCGAAACCTCTTGTATTCCTTTCTTAATTCTCTCCTTCTCAACCATGTCCGCGCGTAATATAGCCTTAACATCCTCGGGTGTTTTCGTGCAAGAAACTACATCACCGGTAATTGCTAATTGATGTCTTTTGGCTCTACTTATTCCTCCACTGCTAGTTAAATTACAAAAATCACATGTCACCTTCTTCTTGTTATTCAAATCCTTCAAATGATTGTATTTCCATCCTATGTCCTTACTATTGGTTGGTTTGAACGTTGGAGCACATGAAGCAACCGACGCAGAATTGGGTGTCGACGAAGAAGCTGCCATATTTACCTGAAGCCTGGAACGGTGGAAGTGTTGTTTGCTGGAACTGGAATGGTGGAAGTGCTGTTTGCTGGAACTGGAACGGTGGAAGTGTTGTTTGCTGAAATTGGAATGGTGGAAGTGTTGTTTGCTGGAACTGGAACAGTGGAACGGTGGAGAAAAAAGGGCACAAAACTGGAACAATAAGAGCGGAACAGTGGAACTCTGCAGTTATATGTTGCTGCCTTGCTGGAACTGAAACGGTGGAAGTCGAACAGTGGAGAAAAAGGGCACAAAAACTGGAACGGTGGACGTTGAAGAGTGGAAAAGAAGCGCACAAAAACTGGAACCGTGGAAGTTGAAGAGTGGAAAAGAAGCACACAAAAATTAGGGCAGAAGAAGAAAGTGAGAAACTGTAACGCAGGAAAGAAAATACAAAAGCAAATTTGTTTTAAAAGTATTTTAAATGAGGGGTAAAATAGTAATTTTGGCCAAAAAAAATTAAAAAAAAAAAACAAGCCCGAACCGCTCCGCCCGGGGAGCGCCCGCTATCCGCGACCCGGGATAGCGGCGATAGCGCCCGCTATCTTCTCTCCGCTACCGCACCCTTGTGCGCGCGCGGCATGGCTCCGCTCCGCTCTGGAGCGCCGCGATAGCGGCCGCTCCGACCGCTATTAACAACTCTGGTCCAGAGCCCACTTTAGTAAACTTTGTAACTCTTGCTGAATATATAGTTCTAGCGTTCATCCTATATTTGCGAATATCTCCGATATAAAACAAATGTCAGATACATCATAGTACGATTGTAAGTAGCAGAATTGAACTAAACTGTTATAACTATGTATTAATGCAAGTGTCTTACATTTTAATCATCAACCTAGGAAGCACCACCTCACTAAATCAAATTGCCTTAATCAAAGGCAATTAAAAATTAGGTAATAAAGTCTATTTATATAATCAATTTCATTAACTTTCCCACTTGCAAATTTACATTGATTCGGCAAGCTCTTAGAGACTAATGGATCAAAGAAAAATAAAATTTAAGAGCCAAATCAAGAAATAGCCAAACATAAAAAATATTTGAAAAAAATTGTTATCTTTTTTTTTACTGTTAAAAAAAGATACCATTCTAATAGTGGCAAAGGATCTCATTGCTTGGAAATTGGAATACTCTTGATGGATGTGTAAGTGGAGGCATTAAGAGTGTATTGATAATAATGAAGGTAAAAACTCAAGGTTATGCATGCATTTTACTTTAGCTCCAACTATATTTATATTTTTGATCTAGTCATCCCCAACTATTTTCAATAAAATTCAGTGCATCTTGGAGTATTAAAATAACTACCAAGAAAACATAAAATTACAGAACTGGAAGCAAATGTTGAATTGATAATAAAACTTGTTTGACAAACACAGCTCTGTCAATGCATGTTAAGCACTTCTAAAGTATAACACTCTTAATCAACTTATCCCAACAACCATAATCTATAATACATCACCCATTTTGTTCACACAACTTGAATTTTAAAAGAGATTATTCTCAAGAAAATGTTCTCAAAGGCAATATCATTTTTCATCACCAGGCCCACCACCAAAGAGCCACCACCCAGCATGAACTTTTGTCAATATCATTTTTCATCACCAGGCCTACCACCAAAAGAGTCAGCACCCAACATGAACCTCAAAAGATAAAATTAAATTAAATTGTTGTAATTCCTCACGCATAAATGACTCAGTTAACAATCCATTAAATATATTAAATTCAATTTAACTATCAAATTATTAATACAAAGCTTAATTATTCATCAAGTCCCTAAGCTACTTGATGATTAAATGCATGCACAATCAGTTAACTCAGATAAGTGATTATCCTATAGCACTTAATGAAAAATATTTATCTAATTAGAATCTTAAAAACTCACCAAACTCACAAGCCTTAACAGCAACTTTGGCAGCAACGTAAGCTGAAATGTTTCTGATATTTGTGAATGGTGGAAATATCAGACCCTTTTCAAAGTTTTCTTCTGTTAAAATTACCTCTTCTACATAGTCAAAATTCAATCACTGTCAATAGAAATTGGTTAGCAAAATCATGAACCTGTTATACTTGAGGCTTGTGTTTGAAAGACCAGATGCAAAATCCATAACAACACCAAGTGCAAATATATCAAAGCATGGAGTTGATTTAGATGGAGTCGACACTTGAAGCATCAATATTTGTCTCCATGTTAAATTCATGCATCTGATATTGAAAAAAACTTATGGATGAAATGAACATATCTCCATGTGACTCCAATCAAACTTTATAAAATAGAGATTACATATTCTCGTAGTTACTTAAAACAACAATGTGCTGAAATTTAAGCTAAAGAAACTTCTCTTTTCGTTAATGTAGCAGCATGCTCGCCGCCGTCGAGGCCAAATTTAGCAGATTCCATGCCAATTTGTGCACGGCCCAGAAGACTGGAAAGATGTAACAACATGTGTAATAGCATCATGGAAAAATACATTAGTAGGTCTACAAAGTACAAGTATTTAATTTGATTGTTCCAAATCAGCTTCTTTCAGAGCATCAATAACCTGAAAGTGTAATAAATATTGTTGTACCCCAAAATTTGACCTCCCATTTCCTCAACATTTTCTCATCACAAGGCCCTTGGAGCTCAAGATCCAATTAGGATTTCCCCGGCTCAAGATTTCTCCTTGCACTGTTGACCCAAATTAGGGTTTGTGTTTGCACAAAGATATTTTGACCTAAAATGCCTAAGATGACTTTCATGCTTCATGTTGGACTCCCAAGTTTACCCATACCAAGTTTCAAGTCTTGATTCCAAGTTTTACCCAGTCAATTAGACAGTTGACCTAGAAATCAGCTGTATTGGGGAAAAAGTCAACTGTGGCCAATTGACAGTCAAATCTCATGAAAATTGACCCACATCAACATTATGAACTCATATGGACCATTTGATCAAGTTTGGATCACAATTCCACAAGAAATTTGATCAGATCACCAAAAGGGCAAAATGGTCATTTTTAGGGTTTTGACTGCACCAAGGCAATTTTTGACTGTTTGACCTAGCCAATGACAAAACAAGCTCACATATGGACTCAAGGACCCCATGGAATTGTCTTGACATTCTCAACAAGCTCAAAAGATCCCAAGTACACAAGATTGACAGTTGCATTTCCCAGTCAATTGATCAATTTTGACTGTATACTGAAAAGTCAAACTTTGACTTTTTGGTCAAAATCAAGAGTCAAGATTCATTTTTTATCAAAACATGCCAAATCATGAAACTTGTTCACCAAGAAACCAAGAAATGCAAATTAGGGTTTGAAATGGAATTTTTCATAACTTAGAATTTTTCTAAGTTATGGAAAACCCTAATTTTTTCCCAACTTTGCCCCACTTTTTCACCAAGATTCATTTGGATTCAAACAAAAGTCAAAACATGAAAGTTGTAGCTTGTTGTATAATCTACAACTTTGATTCACAAAGTTTTCCCAAATGAGGCTTGTATCTCAAGTTACAATTTTTGGAATAAGGGTACTAAACCATTCTTAACTTAGTGAAAATTTGACCTATTTTGGACAAGTTTTTTGCCTAACTTCAAGACCATTTTTCATACACTTCCACTTGGAATTTCAATTTGCACTTCAAAGATGGATTGTAGTACACATTCCAAGCTTTCCAAAATGTCCAAGAACTTCTCAAACAACCTCATGGTTAGGGAGAATCGAATTTTGCAAAATGGCAAAAACTCACTTTGTTCATGACCAAGTTACATGTCCATAACCTTGCAATTTGAACTCAGCATGCTTTAAGCTAGATTACAGGTCTTTTATCTCATCTACACTCCATAATTTAATGCCAATCCTTTGTGCCAAGAGGTTGTTCTATGAGTTTGGACATTGTATGCAAGATTAATCCATTTATAGATAAAGCATAATATCCATTCTTGAAAAGTTGCACTTTATGTCTAAAGCAAATCCAAGCAAGTACAGTTAAGATTTCTTTGGCACAAGTTTATGGACAAATTGCACTGATAAAGGCTAATGTATGCAGCATAGATTGGGGGCCTGTACAGGCTAGAAACACCAAGTTGACATTTGTTGCTTAAAGTTGAAGAAAAGTGCCATAACATCACACAACTCTCATATCAGCTCAGGCACACTTAGACAAACTGATCAAACACATTCCAAAGATCAGAACCAAGATTTTGCACGACCCTAGCACCTCTCAAACACTCCCCTTGCCATAATCACTCTCAAACTTCAAAAACAGGGCAAAGCCTGCAGTTTGAGTGCTATCTTTCATTTCTCTCAAGCTTTCTTGCCCAAACCAGTTCACACACCTTCCATACCATCTATGCAAGCTAACCAAAAGCAAAAACACGACCTGTAATCCCTCTAACTGGTTCCACCATTTTCACATTTCTGACTTGCAGGTGAAGTTCTCTAGCTCGATTCAGAAGCTTTCAAGACAAAGTAAACATTGGAATAGCATCCCTGGACCTCAAGGAAGCTTTTCCAATCATCACCTTGCACTGAAAGTTCCTACATTTCCAGATAGAACTTTAACTGAACAGGTAAGTTTTTGAATTCGTATCTCTCTTATTAGGCATCATTAGCTTTAAGTTTGTGAATAAACAATGTTCTACTCATGCCACTGAACATGTACATTCTTTTACTTTTCATTTCTTTTGCCTGAGCTGTGAGAATTTAAGGTCTGAAAATGGTAGAAAACTTAGGTCAGGATTTGGGATTGTTAAAATTCTCTCTCATTTCTGAGAGTTAGGAGATGTTCTTTATATATTTGGAATCGTGGTTTCATGCTTAACATTTTTTGTGTTGGAAGTTTGTGCAAAAGATTAAAGAATCAGGATGTTTGAATGTTGGAACCAAACGCGCGTTTTTTGAACATTGTTTGCTGGAGGTTGAAGAAGACAGGTCTTCTGGGCTGGGCTTGGAGTGTTTTTCTTATTTGCACCTTGTTTCTACTTTGACGCCCCCCCTGGCCCATT